CGGGGTGCTCCTGCCCCTCCTGGGCTGCCTTGGCGTCTCCTGGGTCGTTGTCTTCCTCTGCCTCATCAAGGGCGTCAAGTCCTCGGGGAAGGTACCTGCGTGTTCCCCCTCCGGGCCCCGCCCCCTGGGCATGGACACGCCCCCTCTGTAGATGGCCACGCCCCCTCTAGGCATAGCCCCTCCCCTATTGGGAATGTACCTCCCATTGTTGATGTGGCCCCACCCCTTCTGGGCACAGCCTCTCCCCTTTTAGGCAAGGTCCCAGCCCTCTGCGCATGCTCCTCCCACTCTGGGAAAGGCCACACCCCTTCTGGGCACAGCTCCTCCCATGTGGCCATGGCCCCGCCTTCCCTGGCTGTAGCCCCTCCCCCTGGGCCATACTCTCCTCCTGGTCCGTCGCTCCACGCTCTGGACCGTAATCCCTCCCCTGGTCTGTAGCCTGCCCCCCAGTCCATAACCGCACCCCCTGTCCCCTGCCCCGCCCCACTGGGGTGCCGCCCCGCAGGTGGTGTACTTCACGGCCACCTTCCCCTACGTGGTGCTCACCATCCTCTTCGTGCGTGGCATAACACTGGAGGGGGCCCTCACCGGCATCATGTACTACCTGACGCCCCAGTGGGACAAGATCCTCGACGCCAAGGTGAGCGGGGATGAGGGGTGGCGGGTGGCCAGGAAGGAGCGGGGCTGCGGGGCACGGCACTGACCACCCCACCGCTGCAGGTGTGGGGCGACGCGGCCTCGCAGATCTTCTACTCGCTGGGTTGTGCCTGGGGCGGGCTCATCACCATGGCCTCCTACAACAAGTTCCACAACAACTGCTACCGGTGAGTGCCCAACGGCGATCCCCCGGTCTCCCTGCTGCCTCCTGGGCCTGCCACCAGCCCCGACCCCTCTCCCTGCAGGGACAGCATCATCATCAGCATCACCAACTGCGCCACCAGTGTCTACGCTGGCTTCGTCATCTTCTCCATCCTGGGCTTCATGGCCAACCACCTGGGCGTGGACATCTCCAAGGTGGCCGACCACGGCCCTGGCCTGGCCTTCGTCGCCTACCCCGAGGGTCTCACCTTGCTCCCCATCTCACCCCTCTGGTCCATCCTCTTCTTCTTCATGCTCATCCTCCTGGGGCTGGGTACACAGGTAGGTCATGGTGGGGCCAGCGTGTTGGGATGGGGTGGCATGGTGGGGCCAAGGTGGTGACACACTGTCCCCTCCACCCACGTGCAGTTCTGCCTGCTGGAGACGCTGGTCACGGCCATTGTGGACGAGGTGGGCAACGAGTGGATCATCCGCAGAAAGACCTTCGTGACGCTGGGGGTGGCTGTGGTGGGGTTCCTGCTGGGT